TTTATTTAGTGGCTGCGTGGGGTCTTCGTTGCTGCACCCAGGCTTTCTCTAGTTGCGGCGAGCAGGGGCTACTCTTCGTTGCAGTGCACTGGCTTCTCGCTGCGCTGGCTTCTCTTGCTGCAGAGCATGGACTCTAGGCATGTGGGCTTCAGTAGTTGTGGCACGCGGGCTCAGTAGTTGTGGCTCATGGGCTCTAGAGTGCAGGCTCAGTAGTTGCAGCGCATGGGCTTAGTTGCTCCACCGTGTGTGGGATCTTCCTGGACCAGGGCTTGAACCTGTGTCGCCTGCATTGGCAGGAAGATTCTTAACCACTGTGCCACCAGGGAAGCCCCAATATCCTTGTTTTGACAATGGTTTAGTTAAGTGTCCATGGAGAGGGAACTATTTTTGAAACTTTGTCAGTCTTAAAATATTTCCAAATAGGAAGTTAGAAAAGTTGAATGGTCTAAAGAATTGAAAGCAGGATCTCAAAAAGATACTTGTGTATCCATGTTCACAGCAGCATTACTCAGGATGGCCAAAAAGTGGAAGCAACCCAAGTGTCCACTGATGGATAGACGGATAAACAAAATGTGGCCCATTCATACAGTGGAATATTATTCAGCCTTAAAAAGGAAGGACATTCTGACACATGCTACTACATGGATGAACCTTGAGGACATTATGCTAAGTGAAATAAGCCAGTCACAAAAGGACAAATACTGTATGATTCCGCTCATATGAGATCCCTCGAAGTATTGAAATTCACAGTGAAAGAAAGTAGAATGGTGGGTGCCGGGGGCTGGAGTCGGGGGGGAATGGAGAGTTGTTTCGTGGGTACAGTTTCAGTTTCGCAAGATGAAAAGAGTTCTGAAGGTTGGTTGCACAACAATGTGAAGAATGTACTTTTAACATTGCTGAACTGTACACTTGAAAATGGTCAATTTTATGGTTTTACCACAATTTAAAAAAATCGAGTGGTGTTTTTTAAAAAAGAGAGTGTATCACCTTTATTTCTTTTTTTTTTAAATTTATTTATTATTTATTTTTGGCTGTGTTGGTTCTTCGTTGCTTTGTGCAGGCTTTCTCTATTTGTGGCGAGCAGGGGCTACTCTGTTTTGTTGCGCGGGCTTCTCGTTGTGGTGGCTTCTCTTGTTGCGGAGCGTGGGCTCTAGGCATGTGGGCTTCAGTAGTTGTGGCTCGTGAGCTCTAGAGCGCAGGCTCAGTACTTGTGGCTCACGGGCTTAATTGCTCTGCGGCATGTGGGATCTTCCCGGAACCCGTGTACCCTGCCTTGGCAGGTGGATTCTTAACCACTGCGCCACCAGGGAAGCCCTCATCTTTTATTTCTGAGTAGTCCATGTATGTACACAGTGGAAGAAATGCTGAGGGTGTCTCCCCTCCACCCCCACTTTCACCTCCCCCATATTCTGGTTCCCTCCCCAAAGCCCCCACTGTTATCAATTTCTTACTCTTCCTTCCTCAGATATTTTCTGCATTTGCAAACACATTTTTCTTACTCTGACATTTGTTTTTCATTCCATCAGTGCTTCCACGCTGTTTTTTTTTTAATCATTGTGATAGAATACACATAACACTTAGCACTTCAACCATTTTAAAGTGTATGATCCAGGGACTTCCCGGTGGTGCAGTGGTTAAGAGTCTGCCTGCCAATGCAGGAGACACGGGTTCGAGCCCTGGTCTGGGAAGATCCCACATGCTGTGGAGCAACTAAGCCTGTGCGCCACAACTACTGAGCCTGCGATCTACAGCCCACAAGCCACAACTTCTGAAGCCCGTACTCCTAGAGCCCGGGCTCCGCAACAAGAGAAGCCATCACAATGAGAAGCCCGCGCACCGCAATGAAGAGTAGCCCCCCCCGTTCGCCACAACTAGAGAAAGTCCACATGCAGCAATGAAGACCCAACGCAGCCAATAAATTAATAAAAATAAAGTTAAAAAAATAAAGTATATGATCCAGTGGCATTAAATACATTCACCATGCTGTGCAACCATTGCCTCTTATCTAGTTTCAGAACACTTCCATCACCCCCAAAAGAAACCCTGTCCCCATTAGCAGTCACTTCCCATCTCCCCTCCTGCAGCCCCTGGCAACCACTAATCTGCTTTCTGTCTCTGAATTTTCCTGTTCTGGACATTTCATATCAATGGAATCATACAGTATGTGGCCTTATGAGTCTGGCTTCTTTCACTCAGCCTGGTGTTTTAAGGTTCATCCATGGAGTAGCATGTGTCAGTGCTTCATTCCTCTTCACTGTTGAGTAATATTCCATTGTATGAATGGACCACGGTTTGTTTCTTTAACTGTTGATGAACATTTGTTTTCTTTTCTTTTGGCGATTGTGAATAGTGCTGTCATGAACTTTCACCTGTAATATTTGGAGACCTATTTAATTATTTCGGCTTTATCCCTAGGAGTGGAATTGCTGGGGCCTATGGTAACCATGTTTAACTTCTTGAGGAACTGCCAAACTTTTCCACAGTAGCTGCACCACTTTACTGCACTTGGCTTTCCAATGTAACCATCTTGGTTTTTTAAATAAAGAGCTCTCCATCCCTCCCCCTCCCTTCACCTCACCCCTCACAGGCACTGAGCTGCTTGTTACACTGTTGCAAAGCCAGACTGTGTCTCCCTCTGTGAACACACAACTTAGCCCCTCTAGCCAGCTTTCTTTGGCCCTTCTTTTCCTTCTTTAAGGACTTTGGTCCTGCTTTTCCTTCCCTAAGGACTCACCCACTTATTTCTGATCCAAATCCCAGCCCCTTCCATGTGTGACTTGGGACGAGTGGATTAGCTGCTCTGGGTCCCTTTTCCTTACTTGCAAAATGGGATAAGAATAGTTCCTCTCTCCAAAGATTTGTGATATTAAAAAAGAGAACATCAGTGATGTGCTTAAACGGGGCCTGCATCCAGTGAATACTAACTTTTACCCCCCTCACTCTTGGCAGTAGCATGTGACTCAGTTTTTCTGGTCACGGCTAACTCGGTGTCATCAATTTCCTTTTTTTTTTTTTCCCAGTGCGATGGGGCGGGGGGGGGGGGGGGGGAA